TATCATTAGCGAGCAATAACAAAAAATTCTTTATCCACACCAGGAAAAAGACAGTTTTAACAGAGAGAATAAACCTTTCACTGTGTCTTTTGTAATCTCAGCGCAATCCCAATTGAGCATCGCGATTGTCTTCTTTTGTCACCTCAGACCGCCTCTCTGACAGTAAAGGATTTATGGTTATTTCCTACATGCAGCCTGTCCATCTGTGGCTCTATCTTCATATGGCCTTGAGAATACGATTCAATTTATTAAGGCAAAGCAATGGACTCATTACTTTAAAAAGGTGGCAAGAGAGAGAGTGGGAGAGAGGGAGAAGTGACACACTGAATTGGTTATTAATGGAAAGGCACAGCCATAGGGCAGTTGAAATTTAATGATATCCTACAAGAAAATATGAGGGTGTCACTCTCCAAAAAGTCATGCTAAATGTCAACATTTTAGGGTCCCGGTGCTAATTTTATGCCTGTGCACAGTAATGTTTTGGAGAGCATTTAGGAAACACGGCCGAGTGGCCAGCCTGATTATCCCGCTCACCTTCTCTCCTCTCTCCAAATGGGTTTGTGCAGCAAGCGATTTCATCTCTAAGTGAAGGGAACATTAGGGAGGGGAGAAAGAGAGAGCGATAGAGGAAAACACGCGGTTTGATTTTCATGCTGTGATAAGAGAGTGGGAGCCAAATGTTACCTGTTAATCTAGCCCAAACCGACCGGGGCTCTTGACTTTGTCCCCCAGCAGGGATGGGGCAAACACTCATTTTCCTCTCTCCGTGATGAAAAGGAAATTAGCTTAAATGTGATGAGGGCACATTAGTGTGTGTGCCATGCGTGTATGTAATGAGTGTGTATGCGTTTGAGAGTTTTTGTTTGCAGACATCTGAGTTCATGTGTGTTTTCTCTTTCTTCACAGTGTATACAGTACATTGCGCACACATATGCACAGCATATGCATGTGATAGTCATTCCAAAGGAATTTGTCTTGTATGGATCATCACACACAATTTCACATTATGTCCTGCAGGTTCTTACTTACTTTAAGAAAGGTGTGCCTACAAGTGAATCTAACCCTCCAGTAGTTAGGTTATTTGCTGTTATATAAAATGTTTCTTTCTAGATGCTGTGAATAAAACAATTTTAGCCTTTCTTAACACTTGGAAACCTGCTTTTACAAGTGTGGAGTTATGAGTGAAATTATAATTTGAATGTAAGAGTCAGAAAAAAACATCTATAGTTGTTAAAATAAGCATATTACATACTCTAGTACCTGTTTACAACTATCATACAGTGAAAGCTGAATTTATTTTGCCTGAAAGACCCTCCAGAGTGCAGACATCATTTGCAAGATAAGCTAGGCTCATGTATTTTTAAAGGGCTCAAATTGCGTGCAACTACTTTTCTGCCCAGCTCTGCATCACTGCATGTATACCAGAAGACAGATTTTTCCCTTGACAAGATTTTCCAAATCCAGCCCTTTAAGTGCAGGTGGAATAATGCTGTGTTGGCTGCTAATGGTTGTCCGAGAGGTCATAACTACTCCATTTGAAGGAGGCTGGGTTCTCCGCAGCCCTGGCAGGTCAAATCAGATGTAATTGTGCAGTGGAAAGCATTGCCTTGCTTAGTGTTGGCTGTGCTGACAACCTCCAGGTTTAGCATTCAGTTCTCCTGCTGGGAGGAACACAGGTTTGCAAGGACAAAGGCTTCACCTGTCAATATATCACACTGACTGGCCAGCCAAATGTACCTCTGCTCTCTGTCTCTCTTTTCCCCTCTCTCTCCTATCTCTCTTCCTCTCTGTCAGTCTTTCATTCTCTGCACACCCATTCTATTCCAGCCTCCTCTTCCTCAGACTCTGCTTCACCTATCCATCCATCCATCCATCTTCTGTCTTCAACCATCTATCTCTCATTCCTGGCATCCTTCTCGCCCTGTCTCTCTCTCTCCCTCTCTCTCTCTCTTTGTGTGTCTTTCTGTGTCTTCCTCTCCTCCCGCTCACACTGCCTCCGTGTGAGGACTCAGCTGAAATGTCCTGAGGGACCCAGTTTCAAACACAGGAACCAGAAACATATGGCACATTTTCAACTCCCAAGGTCAATTACAGCTATTTATCCAGAGATTGCAGCTAAATTTCCCAAGGTTTCTTCTAGATTTACCACAGATTGCAATGTGTGTCTGTCACATTTTAAATCAGGCCAGTTTCCTCTGCTTCTCTCCGCTCCCTCCCTGTGACTTTCCATCAAGTATTTCAAAGGCTTTCAAGTGGGTTTTAGACATGTTTTATCTCTGGTTATCATGTGCCCCATCTTTTTTTGCCTCAGCTTTGCTAGGTCCAAGTGCCGATTGCAACACAAATCTAATAACATGTAAATTGGAGATAAGCCCAGATCCCTCCAAGTGATATTTTTTACATTCATAGTTTGTCAAGTCAATTCCTGGGTCCCTGTTTTAGCAACACAACACATGAGGAGTGAGAAAATTAACTGGATAGGTGATTCATCATTGCTAGCACACTGTCAAGGACTCCCTCTGCAGCTATTGAGAGCAGGGTGGAGGAGGAGGACGGAGAAAAGGGGTGGGGGCGGGGGGGGTTGTTTTAAATTATGGCATTTCATTCAGAATGCATTGTATTTACAGCGTCCCATTTTTATTTGTGGCTCCTATTATCCGCCGAAACAGTTGTGCATGAAATGTTATTTGTGACAGGGGTGACCTGCGAGTGTTTTTCCACACAGTATTTCATAGTCGGGGGCCTTAACTGTACCTTTAGCGTACGGTAAGCACAAGAGGCTGTCACAGCTGCTGTTGGCAGCCTTGCTTGTGGAGAAATATCACCTGGAAACAGAGTACTCCATTCCACCGGCCCCCATCACTCCAACGCCTGTCGCTGTAATTAAGTTGAAGTCAATGATTCTGGAGCGATGGTGAGAAATAAACATGCAAACACATGCCAGCATTTGCAGCCAGGCACAGAGAAAAAGAGGGGGGAGTTTGGGGGGTGTGGGAGGGAGGGGGGTGTGGGGGGTGGACATTGTTAGAAGCACAGAAACCACAGATCTAGATCACGTTCCACTGGAATTTACATTTGAGTTTCATTAAGCCTGTTTTGATTATTTTGATTAAATTAGTCACTTATTAGCTTCCCATTTCTTTTTTTTTTAAATGCCTGTATTTATGCATAGCTCTTGGTGGAAATGTTATCTGACAAGGAGTGCTGTACAGTAGTTGGATACTGTCGAACAAAACACGCTGTTTGCTTTTCCCAGAGCATGACAGGTTGTTTCCCCTGCAACAAAGCCATCAAATATTCTGTGTGATCCAACATTGTGTTGGAGGGGAGGCCTGCTGAGTGGGAAGCCGGAGTTTGTTAAAGCAATGATTTATGATTAATGCCAACACTAAATAAGGGACAAAGTGCCTACAGTACAAATCAATTACAAAGCTACAACAGCAGACCTTTCCCCGAGGTCTACTAACGTCTCTAGTTGTTATGGTGATTTTATTGGAGGTGGGTGATGCATGCATATAATGCACGCAATACATCTATATCAACCTAAGCTGGAGCCAAGTGCAATGCTTTTGATCTTTGATTAGTTATTTTATTGAGATAAAATAGGACTTTCATGTTGTGCCACTGTATAAGGAGAGTGCATTTTATATCTCCACCCAGAAGCCCACCTCAAAAGGCAGACAGAACTGCACCAAACAAAACAAATTACCACAGGAGTGGCTTCTTAAAAGTAGGCAATTCATTATTTTTATGAAGTCAAATTATAAACAAATTTTAATCCATTAGGCAACCATCCATTCTAATTAATCAACAGGAGTGAACTCCATCTGAAAAAGGAGAAAGGTTGTTTACTCTCTCCACGGACCAGCGGTGCATATTTCACCATCTTCCCCGGTCAGAAAAAAAAGAAGAAAAAAAACCTTCAAATTACAAACCTAAACTGTGAATGCTAACACTCGACTTTTGGCGCAGAGATGCTTCCAGGGCATTTGCAGATGCTTGAAATAATCTCCAATGTTTTTGCTCAATCTGCTCTGAGGATGGGTGAAATAAATACTTTAAACTAATTAATGTAAGACCAGCTGTTCCCAGCACTTGGCTAGCGTTGGTGAATATTGATGGGAGGGAGAGGCAGGGCTGTTCAGCTCTACTCGCTGTTTGTACAAGATTCAGCCTGCCACATAAACAGATATGAATACTGGATGAGAGCAGAGAGGTGCTGTGCACAACACAGCCAGGGTTCCACATTACAAATAAAACTTTCCCCCTCTTTCATTAAATTAACAATTAAACAGCTGATGGTGCAGACTTCCTGTGGAGAGCTTTTCAGACTGGATGTGTTTAATAAACTGTCTCACTGCAAAATGGTAGCACTTACAAATTGTTGGCTTAATAAAAGCTCAGTGGACAAAAACATGTGGCAGATCTGCAACAAACGGCAGCGTCCATACAGTTTTAGTCTGACCAGGCTGCATCTGTGTCTGCTGGTTTTCCTCCTGCTTTCTCTCCCTCTTCTGCTCCTCTTTCCTCCTCTGAGGCCTGGTGGAGAGGCTGGACAGCAGATGGCAGGGCCCTACCCCTCTGCTGGTGATGAATGGAGGATGATGTCATCTTAGGTTTGACAGGCACCCGTGCATGCATACACAAAGGGAGCCGGACCGTGGGTCTGCTTCTGATTTTGGAGTCCACATGACATCTCTTAAATGGGGGAAGCTGGATTTATGTCGCAGTTGATATTGTTTAACTCCACACTCGGGCCTTGAGAAGAAGCAACACAAAGGAATCTCCAAGGGACCAGTCAGTCCATTATATTTGTGAGAGGAGGGGAGAGATGGGATTGGCTGCTGGAGATCAATACAGACCCAGTCATAGCTACTGGTCAGATCAAGTCAGGATCAATATGTGTCAGCATCACCAAAAACTACTCACATAGTGAACCACTTAGCTTGTTTTCAAGTTTCACAATGATTCATTTTCATTGCTATTATTTTTCTTTGCAGAGGACAACTCAATGTGCACCCCAACAGCGAGAGATACCTACGAGAGGTTGTCACTGGCTGGACAGGCCCTTCCTCCTGGCTTCCCCTCACCATTTCTCTTCCCGGATGGTTTGTCGTCAATAGAGACTCTCCTCACCAACATACAGGTATTGCCCGCTGACAAAGCTGTGCCCTCATAACAAGATAGAGTTAACACATTTTTACTTGCTTAAAAACACACAGTTAGTAGCAGGAACTTATACAGTAAAGGATCTCTGCACAGTCCCTTTAACCTCATTTAGCCAAGCCAGTTCACAAATACTGAATGTTTTAAGCTTCTGTGTGTGAAATTGTGCAAAAATATGATTGGGCCATATATAGAAATTATTCTGATGCTACAAGTGCTTGTTATAGAAAAAGGAGACAGTTGCAGTGCTGCCTGTGTGTCTGTCACAGTGTCTTTGTTTTAACCACTTGAGGGTGCCAAAGTGGAACATTATCAATTCTTCAAGTTGTTTTAAGAAAATATATTGTCGATATACTTTAGATCAAAACCATCTTCTCCAGAAAAATTACAGCCTTAGTCTTACAATCACCAGGAAGTAGTGTGACTTCCTGACATTAAGTAAGAGTGTTGAGGTCGGGTCGCGTAATTGGGCATACAGAGCATTTGACTGACAGCAGAGACCTGTGTACGTCCTGTCTCTTACCAACATCCTTGCTTTTCTTTAACCATAATGGAGCTTTCCAAACGATCGGCGTAAGATTTTCCAAACAGTACTCAAGAATGGCATGAAAGTTTATTCTGTCTAGACCTTGACAAAAATATCTCAACACAATGAACACTAACTAGCTTTTTCTGAAGCGTTCAACCGCTGTCCTCCTTCACAGCTGAACAAACGCCATCTGCTGAAAAAGACTCCGAGATACGTTTGAAAGCTCCAGAAATGGCTAGCAAGACAATGTTGATTTAAGATATCTTTTTTTTTTTTTTTTGTATGTGTCAAACTTAACCAAGTTGCCTCAACTAACCACACCATCACCATAGTGCGGCAGATCACTCATATGGGTCATTTTAAAATCCACTGACAAATAATTTATTTTGTTGTCTATGAGGACTAAATCAGCAAAAATACTCTATAGAGAACCTATTTGTACCCACAGAAATGTCCAGTCGTTATATCTAAATTTTGTGGGGGTTCCGGATCTCGATAAGCTGAATGACTCAGTCTGTGTTGAAATATAACACTACCATAGTTTCTCTTCAATTTATGGCTTTCCATCCAAAATGATGTTGGTAAAAGTCAATGGCATGATGTAGACTCTCTACAAGAGCTCATTTTTAGTCAAAAAAGTGGACACCATCATCTGTATCCTCCTTATAAATATATACTTATTATGGACATTACAAATCCAGATACACTCATCTGCAAATCTGCATACCTTAACAATACCCATCTCCGCAGAGTGCCATTTAGGCTTCAGCTCAAACACCCTCAGTCAGAAAGATGAATGTATTTGCCTGCTGTCTGAGTGTAATGGTGTGTGTACACCGCTGCCCTTCTCATTGCACTTGTACCATTGGCATCAGAGTCCTGCTTCTCCTTTGGCTCTGTGTGGTAATTAGAACGGCACAAGTAAACCCGTCGCAAGCTCCCAACACTCCACTAAGTCATCTTTGATAATGATCTTGAATATTTATATACAAATCATCAAAATGAAACCAAGCAGAAAATTAAGATAAAGCAACTTAGAATAAATTGGGGTCATAAGAATCAACAATTAGTAAGATATAGTCCAGTGCATTTGATATAATTGCGTGTGGATGGGGAATAATTGTGATGAAAATGGCCGCGGTACTGTACAGCTTTCACATGAGAATGCAGTAGCGTTCAATTCAGGACTGTCAGGAGTGTATTTGGAATGGCAGTAATATAATTGATACATGATAAGATACTTGTCATTCAAATTATTCATTCCTGCTGTGCTGCGCAAGGAGCTTGGAAATGTGCCACAGGGACTAATACTGTATATTTATACCAATCCAGTTACAATTGTCAGCTGTGTATTTAAATGGGAAGATGGAAGAGGAGCTCCATCTTAACCCTTAGTGTGACAGTGCTGAGTGGTGTTTTCTCCTTCAACCTTCTCAATCAAGTAAACGTCGCTTTGGTTCGGTTGAGATAGCTCTCAAGCGTCCGAGCGTCTATCTTCGCTTGTATTTCACAGCTTTGACCAAAAGGGGTCAGGCGCAGGTACCCAGCACTCTCACATTATTGATTATTTGAAAAAACATTATTATTACAAAAACTCTGGTAGATCCATGTTCATGTTTCTAGATCTTGTGGGAGCAGCTAAAAGATAATGACATCTTCACAGATAAAAGGACCAGCAAAGGTGGTAATACGCCTGAAAGGACTCATGTAGCAGCAGTCAGCTTTTGGCCCTGTGCTCTGCTTCACTATTGTGGGCAGCACAAAGAACTGCTGTGACATACTTTCAGTGTGGTTTGCTGTCATTTCATCTTGAAGCTCTTAAATAGCCCACATCACTCTCTTTTCCCCTGCTCCCCCTTTTTTTCTGTATTTCTCTTGAGTGTATATATTCACATGCCTGTGTTTTTGTGTGTGTGTGTGTGTGTGTGTGCGTGTACACGTTTGCAGGGCCTACTCAAGGTGGCAATTGACAACGCACGGGCTCAGGAGAAGCAGGTGCAGCTGGAGAAGACAGAGCTGAAGATGGAGCTGTTCAGAGAGAGAGAGCTCAGGGAGACTCTGGAGAAACAGCTCGCCATGGAGCAGAAGAACAGAGGTACTGCCTGACGACTACCTGGCACTGTATCCTCCCTGTCAGCTGCGTGTGTGTGTGTGTGTGTGTGTGTGTGTGTGGGCATGCGTAAATGTGGATTTTTTCGCAACATTTCAGACTTCACAGGCCTGTGCTCATGTAGACGTGATAGCTCCTGATTGTACATGCACAGCTCTGCGTGTTTCTTATTGAAACACTGACATACAGTAAGCGGCTGTGTTTCTTTGGTTACACATACATTGATCTACTTAGCACCGGCTATCCTGCTCTAAGTCAGTTAACGTAATTGGTAAAACACATTAACTTAGAGAAATTCACTCTCAGTCTCATGTTAAATGCATCAGTTTCATATGCTAACCGTTTATGTTTAATGAGAGAAATTCATGAAAAACATCCCATACATTTTTCAATTTTCTTTAATTCCCTCTAGCAGTTTGTTAAGTCACAGTCAGTTTTTTCTTTTATTAAGGAAGATCTTCATATATTATAAAATATTTAGGTTTAATTGGTTTCCCTTTTTCTATTACAGTATGCTAGATTTTAAAAATGAAGTTATCTTTCTCCTGCTAGAATGCAATAGCTACAATAATCCGATTTCAATCTAAGATAAGGTCTCCACTAATTTGCCCCATAGCTCATTAATTGTCACTGTGCTCTTTTCCCATCCTAGCAATCATTCAGAAGCGTCTGAAGAAGGAGAAGAAGGCCAAGAGGAAACTCCAAGAAGCTCTGGAGTACGAATCCAAGAGGAGAGAGCAGGCTGAGCAGACCCTGAAGCAGCCCTCACCCTCTGACAGCATGCGTTCGCTCAACGGTCAGACGCTCCACAGTGAGACACGCTTACTGTACCTTTCACTTCCAACACATGTGGGTGTTTCAGGCATGGGCAGTTTCTACTGGCACAGATGTGGAAGGTGGGGGGTTGATAGGATTTTTCAGGAGATGAAAGTTGTGTGACGTACATATTGTGAAGTCACAGACTCTATAAGTATAATTATTTTAAAAACAAAGCTAAAACAGTAACTCACATATTTATTTATAGTGACCTTTACATTTGTTGCAGCAATAAATGGGTTAAACTGTTTTGCTCAAAATGTGAACAGTATATTATCTAAAGTGCAACTTTGCAGGTGTTTAAATGTATGTGTTTGCGTTCCATTCTCCTTATGTCCTATAAATGTTTGCATGCTGTGCACTAGGGCTGCAACTAATGATTATTTTCATAATATATTAAACTGTCAATTATGTTCTTTATTAATCGTTTAGTCTGTGAAATGTTGGATAATAATAAAACAAAAGATCGTCAGAGCCCAAGGTGACGTGGTCACATGCCTTGTTTTGTCCAACCAACAGTCCAAAACCCAAAAAGTGTTCAGTTTACAATCATACAAAACAGAAAAACAAGCAGCATTCTTTGCTTTGACAAATGAATCAGTCATCAGAATAGTTGCAGATGAATCAGAAAAAAACCCATCAAAGTCAAAGTCTCACCCAGTGTTAAACCATGTAAGGCATATTTACAGCACATTTCAGTTCACAACATATATTTAAGCGCTAAACTCTCTTGCATACATTTATTGTTAATTACTAGAGTTACTAGCTGGTTTGCACACTTTAGGTTGTGCATACAAAACAATGATGAGCTCATAAAATATGATAAACTGTCAGACTTTCAACTAGCCAGTGTGTAGGGGATTTCATTTGAATAGTTCAGTGAGTAGTGCAGATCTTTTTTTATACATAAAGTCAAAATCTGTGTACATTTTGACCTTTTGACACTTCAGTACATTTTACTACCAACACTGTACTTTTATTTAAGCAAACATATGAATGCAGGGTCACACTTTTAACGGATAATTATTCCAAGGTGTTGAATTGAGGATTCCTCCACCTCTGATAATAAGCACACAGGGAAGCACGGTTCATCCCATGCACACATTCGGTTCCACATTCGGTTCCGGAGATATAGCTTGAAGGCTTAGCCTCTTGTTTTGAATGAACGATGCTGTGAAACTGGCATTGTGATAGGTGTGTGTCAGGGATGTTTAACGGCGGTGATCCCTCTCTTCTCCCAGACTCTCTGACCCCTGAGATGGAGAGTGACCGCAGCAGTGGAAGAACAGATGCTGAAAGGACAATACAAGGTACAGGGGCTCAGATGAGACGATAAATCTCTCTCTCTTTCTCCGGCTCTCACTCTTGCTCTCTTTCTCTTTGTGCCCCCCCCCACCCCACCCCATCTTGCGCACTTTCTCTCTCGCTCTCCCTCACACACACACACACACACACACACACATTGCTTCAGCTTATGAACATTAGTGTTTCTGTGCCTGCTGTTCAGGCATACAGCTCACCATCTGGGCCACAGCACTAGGTCAAGATCATTGGTTTTCTGTTGAAATAATATTGTTCTTTTACTTGACTTTTAGTGGCTGTGATGCTTTTAGGAAAGAGATCTTTGTTGGAACAAAACCCCGTACAATGCAGTAGATAAAACAGTGACACAACGAGGCTAGAAGGTCGCAGAGATAGAATGAAAGAAGTGGTTTGTTTACAGCTCAGGAAGCATTAATGAGTCATAAAACCACAAAAAGCAGTTGAATCCCCCCTTTGATAGTAATAAACGGGGCAAATCAATCCATTTTATGAATAAGCCTTGTACATTTTTAATGGTTTGTTTGTTTCTTAGCCTTGGGGGTGCAGTATGTGTTTGGGGAAGGGCGCTCCAGCGATAACCTCTGTAGACTGTCTGCTATCTGTGTTTACCCAGATGCAAGACACCTTGCAGAGGTTGAATATCCTCATTATTACTCGAACGTCTTCCTTTAATACGCCTCAGCTGCGTCTGCTCAGAACCGCCCTTATCAGTAGGAGAGGTCCCGATTTATCCGGAAAAAATGCTCCATGTAATTTGCTGTGAAAAGTGGAAAATATTCATCTTTGTATGCGAGAATAAGTTGGGCCCCCTTTAACTCTTTAATGTTTGATTAGTCTACTTGAACTGATATTTTGTGAAAGGGCAAAAAGAAAGAAAATTTACTAAGGAGAAGTGATGACTCCTCCTTAATTAAATGTCATTCAGTCACTGCAGGGATCTGAGACAGTTTGATGTCCAAAAAAAGGAAATCCATATGTCATCATTTAAATATAAAGATTACTTCCAGATACAGCATAATTATAGCCCCCTATTTCATACCAAATTAGTATATTTAGCTGCTTTAATTTCTTTACACTTAGATGAAGAGCTTGCCCTTTTGTAGTGTAATTGTATCAAATTCAATGTGTTAAAGCTTTACACTTATAGTGACAGCAGCCATTGTCCTGCTTAAATGTGTAATCTTAGTTGAAATGAATTTGAATTTTTTTTCCCCAAAAAAACATTTTTTATCTCATCCTTGTTAGGAACAGTATGATGTGGCCATAGAGCGTATCATTTTTGCTTTCTCTCAATCACTCTGATCATTGCCTTGAAGAGTGGAATGAAGTGGGGAAACTGAATAACAGGCTGCATTTTGTGTTTTCGTTCAATTAGAGAAGCATTTGTCTGCCACCCATGTCTCCACTGCTCTACTCTGCAAGCCTCGCTGTATAATTAACCTCAAATGGCAAAAAATGATGTTGATAAATTACACTAGCAGAAGGGGAAAAAACAAGCCTATCACTCGCATGAAAGCCGAGAGAAATGTGTGGGTATAACTCCAAACTAAGGGAGGCGAATGGTGAGAGAGAGAGGGGGAAAAAAATAATGAGGGCATAATTTTAGAGAACTAATTATTTCTATTTGTCTTTTGTCACACTTCTCTAATTCTGCGATATTAACACAGTCTGTGTTTATTAATTGCTTTTACAGTGTTTTGAATCGGGTCCAAGAGGGAACGTGGCTCTTTTCACAGGCAGGCAAGCTACTGGGACTGTACCTCGCCAGTACTGCCTGGCAACGGTGCACATGTAAATATCTTCCCCCAGTATCTTCTCTGGTTCCCTCCCGCTTCCCACTCGATGTGTTCGGCAAGTTTACACGACCCTGTGCACAGAGATAAAGTTCTTTGTTGCAAGATTAAACATCAAAACAGTTAAAGTGAAATTAAAATTAAATGAATGAATGTCACTGAAGCAAAAAAGACTGTAATTAATGGATCCCTTAATTGTCTTCATAAAATATTTGCATGGGCATAATTTGCATAATTTACATGTATTAATTAATCTTTCAAAGGAATTTTATGCTGAGAGAAGCCAAAATTCCCTTTGTTTTATTTAGCATCTAATGAAATATTTATTCTCTTTAATGAACTTTTCATCTTGATTTGAATATAAAAATACTGAAGTTTCAACATATTTTAATGAGACGGCCTTTCATCGAACAATGTGTCAAGACGTCACCAATTTTCCCACTCATGTATGTAAAGCAGATGTTTCAACATTTGCACTAATATCGCGCCCCGATTTAAAAATGGATTGGAATTAGTGAGATTTGCTTATCAGACCCCCTCTCTCATTCCCTGTCTTTCATGATAATTTCATCTATTAGAGGTAAACTGCTGCAATATCTAACCTCCTCTCGACAACGTACTGAGAGTGATCATCCGTCAAATAATCAAATTGTCTTCTTTTTCATTAACACCCTTAGAAATTGCTCCAAGTGTGAAGCTGGGCAGGCAGGTAGAGCGTGTGATGTTTCCTCTGCTGTTATTATGAAAGGCGTGTTTTGTGTGTATCAAGTTGTGTATCCCGGCCCACACTCTTAACACTCTCCGGCCCCCTCTTTGGCTGTCTGTTCTTCATAGCGCTGCATTGATGCTGTAATGACTTTTACACAGAACTCGGTGGTTGCTGCTTGAATAGAGGCAGCCAGAGTGCAATGCCTTTGAGACCTACGGCAGTGCTGGGTAATTAGCTTGTGTGTTTGTACACCACCCAGCCCCCCACACACACTTACTGTATACACACACACACACACAACAAGCCTTTGTTGTCTTCACTCTCCACGACAATATATAAAACACCGGCTAAAAGGGAAAACAGAAGTAATTGATAAAATATTAATAATGCAGTCATTTTAAATTTAGCTAAATTCTCACTGGTAAAATAAGCAAAAAGTATTTAATTATAGAAAATAACTTGATGCTTAAAGTGTGATTCCCAGCAGAGGTAGAAGCCCTTTATAATCAGGTGTATTCTCCACGTCTCCGTAGAATAGGAGTCAAGCGTCGTCTCTGATGTCCTGCGCGGCTTGTGTCATGTCCAACAACTTGCGCTGCTAAATGTCTTTGTGTGCGTTTGTCTTTAACATTGAATTATTTAGGCACACTGCCAAAGAGAAGTGTGGTCTCTTAAAGGCATTACTGTAGCGTTCTCCGGCAGAGGAATCGTGAAGGTAATAAACGTCAAACATGCTCCTGAGCAGTGCCTAACAGATGCTTTTACCAGCTCAGCGTCTGAGCAGCACTGCTCGCTCAGGCGAACACTCAGACAAGAGTGTTTGCTGGAAATGGACAAAGCTCGTTAGGTTGGAGGTGTCTGAACATAACGTAACAGTGGAATGTCTGCCATTTTCAATAAACACTATTCCCATGCAGGAAATGTCACTTAGAGAGTGCTTTACATCATGAGTGCAGTATTATGTTCAAACAAGCGCATCAGTAGAGATGTCTTAAACACATGTGGCATACCATTCTGATACTTCCAGTGTGGTTATCATATCTGCTTTAACAGTGTGTGCTTTCCTGGTAATAAAATATGCATATAACAGTGTAATTATATTTGTACCTCCCGACTTATGTACTGTATTAGATCTTAAATACAAAGGTAAATTATTTTATTTATTGTCTTATTTTCTTTCTACCTGACACGAACAAGATGGTCCAATTAATGACATAAATGTTTGTTGCAAGTAATAAAGTAAATTACTGCACATGATACTTAATCATATTCGTCATGGTGCTAACTTAATCTTATCCTTAAATCGGTTTCTGAATCCATAGTAACGCTGGTGAAATTGAAAGACTAGAGGGCAACATTTTGAAGTCACGTTTCATCAACAATCACATCCTGAATAGTGCATTTGCGTCAGCAGGATGTTAGCTGTTGGCTAATCCTTGGCTCCTGTGTGTCCTCTGTTGCAGATGGAAGACTGTTCCTGAAAACCACAGTGATGTACTGATAAGGCCGTGAGGAGCTGGAGGAAATAAAAATTTCAGAAAAAAGGAAGAAAAAAAAGAAAGAAAAGAAAAGAAAACCCATGAAGATTCTCAAGAGCCCTTATCCAGGCTGTTTTAGTAGAGGAAAGAAGTCAAGCTGCTTGTAGGAGTTCAGTGGAAATGCTGTGTTCACCCAAATGCTGGAGGAGGTTGTGTCTGAATGTAGAATAAGAAGTCTTTTTCTCTCAGAGGCCAACATTAAATAGTTTGCTAAAGCAGGTTTTGACTTAGCGGGTTGGCCAACGTGAAGGATAAACATATATATTGAGCACAGTAAAAATGTACCCATGGTACACTGTTGGTAATAACTCGTAAATTCTCAGCACTGAAGATTTTTATACTGTATCTCAGCCAGCGAGAAAGCTTCGAAAAAGAAATTCCACTGAAGTTTTGTTTTTGTATTTCAAATTGAATTTTGAGAAGCTAAAAAATGACACGTGGAGATGAACCTTGTGAAAAAAAGAAATGTGAATCTACCCATGTGCTCATCAAAAGAGAAGACTGATGTTTGATTTTCATGTTTTCTAAATTAGATGAGAATACAATCAAGTTTCCTTTTTACCATTTCTGTATATACAAGATCTGATGATAATGATAGGAAAACTCCCTCTATCGAACCCGAGTGGATTGATAAGGTATGTGTATATAACGTTAAGAGGTATTGTGTATGCAGTAGAGCTATTAGGCAAACAATACCACCATTTATATAAACCTACAGTTTTGTTTTGTTCTATTTCTGAGCCATCATTCTTTCCTATAGCTGCCATTTTGGTGAGAAAGCATGCAGGCATGTAAATGTTTGTCCTGGAATTATGATATTTAATAAATCCTATATTGTGCTGAACAAATACTAGGGTTGACTCACTTAAGCCCAGATGATTTTGAAAACATAATTATCAAACATTTCACATTCAAAATGAAGACTTTTGCTGTCAATAGTACTGTAATCTTTGTAACAGAGGTAATATTTCTTGGGATTTACTGTACATTTTTGTCATGAGACACACTCAGAATCAGCACCTGTCAATGCTTTTTTAAAAGAAAACGATCCAAAATAACTATCAAATTATCAAGTGTGAGCTTGAGAAACAGTTATGACACAACTTTTCGAAACTGAATGCCATTTATTTACATTGTTCAAATCCCTGGTGAACTTACACAAACATACTTTTCTTTTTTTTTTAAGAGTGTTTCGTAATATCCTGATGAGAAGAAAAAAAAACTCATTTTAAGTTAAAAATATTCCTGTTGCTTTCCCAGAAGACTTTCGGATTTCGGTGCTGAGACACCTGTGTATATTCCCTAGACATAAGCTGATGTCAGTCCTTTAACTGCAAAACAGTTTAGACCTTATGTGTTACAATCAGGAGGAGGAGTGTCCCAGGTCCACAATGTGTTTGTTCTTTTTGTTCTCAATGGAGTGTCTAGGTCTGTCGTCACTGATAACTTATATAGCTTCTCGAATCATCTCTTCATTGTACTTCAAATTCAAATAAAGTTAACATGTTGATGATAAAATGTGTTGCCCGAGGTCTTGAACACACTTCTCTGTTCCACGACGCCCGGTGTTTTGAGGTGGAATTCAAACACTGGTTTAATATAGGAAAGGCCACTAATACATAAAAATGTAGATCATCACAGCTGAGACAGCCAAACATAACAGCTCAAGATGATCTGATAATAATGTAAGCAAGTGTTGGGGGGGCAGCTCCTTTATTTTGTTTTGCGATTCTCTTGTTGTTTTTGGCGTATTCGTTTTTTGAGACCTTTACAATCAGCCCCTCGGTCTTTTAACTAATTTCTGTGTATTATGTATGGCCTAAAAAAAACGCTGCAGGTATACTGTACTGTAGAAAAATAAATGAGCATATTGTTCTTCACTTTGTATGGCAGTAAAAAAAATGTATGACTAATCAAATGATGAGAAAATCTTGTGTAAGTTTTCCTTTGTTTTCACCGAGTGTGGATGCGAAAGTGTGTGTGTGTGTGTGTGTTTTTAAATGCATAGGCTAATCCTAGATAAACTATGTAAATGAGGGTGTGACCAAGCTCACTGTAAATAAATTATTTCATGTGTACATTCAAGTGTATGATACTAATTCACAATATATCACCATAGAAGTAACAACGCCCATTTAACCAGTTGTACATGCTGTCGGGTCATGCATCATAATATTCACTTTACATAACACTTATAGCTTTGAGGGAGTCGTTGAGAAATCACAAAGCTCTTCTGTTTATGTCTCATATGTCAAACTATTCTGTTTTGTAAATGTGACGTTGTCAGTTTTTAACACTTGATACACTTTTCTTTGAGTGTGTTTTTAATTATAACTTGTACTGACTGTTCTCCAAGACACCCCAAGACACAATAGTTATCCACAGGGATCATTTCAGAACAACTCTAACAGGTACAGCTCTTGAAACGCATAAAAAAATATGAAATCGACATTGAGAGACAAATTTCTCTAGTAAGCAATTCTGAGTGAAATGTGTTGACACAGCATGCTTGGCCCATACCCATTTTGCATGCTTTTTAAAGCATGGCCTTAACGCAGCCACAGAGATGAATAATTGACTGATTGCTGCATAATTCAATACTGCATTGTAAAAATCCAAGGCCTGAAATATTTCAAGCTTTTCTTCTTTTTATTAAAAAATGAGGTTAAAGTTCCAATCAACCTTGAAAGAACAATATGACACACAATGGGCGATCAATCATGAAACCATGCTTCTCGTGGAGTTCAGACTCACACTGCACTTGCAGCTCCTATCGAAACTTAAGCTCACTCTGGAGTGAAAGAAACTGACATCAAGTCCACTTTATCCATTTAATGACTCAATCGTTCCTTCTTTTTGCTGCAGTGAAAGATTCACTCCGCTTGCCTCCAATGAGCTTGTGAGACGCGGGTTGTTCACAGCTATTACTCAGATATTCTGTTTATTTCTCTATCTGATGCCTTTTCCTGCAATGGTGTATGAGAGTAGAGGCCCTGCAGCTACATGTTTCATATCACTGCACATTTTGTAATAAATTCAATTCAGTACAAATATGACCATGAGGCACGAAGGCTTTAAATACCAAATGTGCATTATAGCTGTGTTGTTGCATTTGACTTCGCTGTAGTGTGGAAAGCACAGTGCTGATTGTATATTCAAAGCATTCAAAGCCGTGTGAGCTGTGTGCTTTATTTACTTGGCTTGACGTAGAGATGTGCTCATGAAGACATCATCCAGACATGATTATTCCGCATGATCCTGTCTCTCATTTCACTGTTGGTTTGCCTAACATCACATTGCACAATTTGTTGTTGATTTGCGCTTGCTTGACCAGCTGAAGAAACTTGTTTATCCTGACACTGCTAACAGATTTATTTTTTATACTTGAAGGATAAAAAAGTTTCACCAGAGAGAAATCAAGTTATATTAATACTTCAGCATATTGTCAACTGCATTGTTAACTCCAACTGAGCTAATTCCCTGCTCATCAGCATGACCAGGAGATGGCCATTTAGTGGAAGCAGTAATATTGCATGTCTCTTGATAACTCAGTGGTGCCCTGAGTCTGTGGAGAGACATTAGGAAGGTGCAGGCTGATCATCTGAAAGATAGGACTAATGTCACCTAATCAGATAGACCATTATGTATTAGCGAAACTACAAAACAATTTTATCTGACAAGGGCCAGGCCACATTACCTAAATTAACATTTTGCAAGCGTGAACATGGAAGACCACAGAGGCAAGGGGAGGGCTAGGACTGCGGCCTGCGCTTAGACATTCGGCAGTAATTATTAATTTATGATTGTCTCTGGTCTTAATGAAAATGAAAGCCAGGAAAGAGAACAGGGAGGGATAATGTGGCGTGAAATTGAGTTTCATTTGTACAGGGTCCACCTTTTAACTCTGCGCTTCTTAGGCGGAAATGGAGCCAAGCGCTTCCCTCTCTCTCTAGAGAATGTGTTTCAGTGTGGTGGGGTTTTTTTAATCACACTCTCTCCTTTCAGTCAAAGCGTGTTCATATCCTCTCATCCTTTTGTGATATTTGGGGCCAACACGCCCTTTAACATCTCCATTACTCTCATAAGGCCTTTTCAAAATGACACAAGGCTCTTTGATGTCTGATAACTATGTCAACAAGTTCCTTGAATGGAAATGTCTCCGCACAGTGCTTCTTTAATGTCAACAAGGCAGCGGAGAAAGGTCTCAGACCAGGTTGGCATAAGAGGGTTCTAAAGAAAGGCAGATTGATTTACACAAGATTGTGTGAGGTATAATACCTTGTTGATATAAGACAAGACAGATTTATTTTTTTATGCAGGCATCATTGAGCCCTGTGGATTGTTACATGCCAATTTAAGGCTTACAATTGTGCTATACTGAAGTGATAATGGTTTAAGAGCAGGAATGATGGAGGTGATTTTTTGCACAAACATGCAGAGATGAGGGGCATTAGATCATTTATGTATTATTTTGTAATGATTTAATTTAAGATTTTTACCTACATACTGTAATTCTATTAACATGTATATAGGTTGTTCATTATAACTGTTTTCAGTTTGAGGGTAAACTAACACACAGCTATTCAAGTCCAGCTTGCTCCACTTTTAATGACTGCCAGGAAGATAAAGAGCCATATTAAATCTGTTTTTTTGTTTGTTTGTTAAAAAATGATTGCTCCAATATTCCTCTCCCATGCTGGACAATCACTTAAATGTGCTGGCATTGTACACAGGGTATTATCTGCAATAACTGATATTTTTGGCCACTAGGGGTCAGTGAAAACAAGCTGTAAACAAAGCATTAACATACAGTATTGCTAACTTGCTACCAAGCAGTAGATTTCACATCCAACCATAGACTGTATGTAGGAAGTGGATGTAGTCATCGTGACGTCAACTGTTGGTTTGTGGACTGCCGTTTTGAAGCCTCGAGTTTGTTTTTGCAACCAACGGCTTCGGACGTGACCATATTTGGACGACACAGTGGAGCTAACGGCCGTGTGTGGAGTTAGCTAGCTTGCTTAGCTAGGTGCATCTGTAATTCATGTTAACTGATTTTCACAGGGCTTACAGTTTTGTCTAGCGAACAAAAGTCTTAAAACTAAATGTACTCAACAGAGAAAGTGAACAGCCAACTCCTAATAAGCTTTTTCAGCGGCTCTGGTAAAATTTACACAGTTCCGTGGGTACAGGTCACTCTAGCCTGACTGACAGATCGCCATGGTAACGACTTGTCATTCATAGATAATCCCGCCCTGAAGCATACTCTGCTTCATGGTCTAGTTTCCTCTAAATGGGACCATAATTCACTAAATGAACATCATGTTGTATTGAAGAAGACATGAAACTAGTGATTGAGACCATAAACTCATTATGAAAGTGTTTACTGAGGTAATTATTCAGCTGAGAAGTAGGGTCATTTTACCATTATTTCTAATGGAGCCGGACTTCTTTTTGCAACCAGAAGAGTCGCCTCCTGCTGGCTGTTCGATAGAATGCAGGTTTAAGGGACTGCGTTGGATTCACGTCTCAGACCGGAAGCTTCCAGCTTGCATCCAACAGACAGGGAGCAACATTAGGATTCATTTAAAGTTGTGTTTCTGGTCACACGACCAATATTCCAATATTTACTCTCTTTTAGCTCTGTTGTTGGTCATCACCAACTCTTCAAGGAAATATTTAGCTCTTTAGCTGCTAAATTTAGCAGCTAGTCACTGTCTTTGTTGTTTGGTGGTGGGTTAGGCAGCTTTATAGTGTTTTTGTTTTCAAGCTTTTTCACTGAAAAGCTGCCTGTTGCTGAACACTGATAAGTGTGGTGAAATTGAACCAAAACAGTAAGCTGCATGCTGTGAAAACCCAAACAATCAGCTGAAAGATATAAAGCTCAGTACAACTGGGGGGACAGGTGATAGCCTAGTCCCTGTCTAAAATATTCAATGTATAAAAGTATCACTTGAATTATCTCTGTCATCACTGTAAACATCGATAAAGAGAGTTAATCCGCAAAATAAATCCCAAACAAAAAGAATGTTACAATATCAATTATTTGCATTGCTAATTACAATATTAGACTTTGAAGACACTTCATATATAAAGTGGCATCTGTAAGCTCCCACAAAATTACTCACAGTCAGAGTATCCAAATCACATGGGTTTCTTATATTAAGTCAATTACATTTTTACAATTGTGAGAGAAGGATGGTTAATTTAGTTTGACCCAAGAGCCCCCCACACTCCCCCAGATAGCAGATGGATGAGACGAGTGACCACAGGCGTGAGGGAGTATGTATCTGAGTGTGTGTGAGCCCACTGGATTAGTCTTCATTTGGTGCCTCTGTCATAAGGGAGGAGAAAACTGAACACTGTGTGGCAGAGCAAAGAAAACACACAGGGTCAGCCAAACATACACAAACACAAGCGCGCTATTAACCCCCCCTCCCCCCAGCTCATCAACTTTATTTTGCAATCTTCCCTCAGAACCATTAGAATACCCTGAAGAAATGACTTTCCAATTAAAGGGGATCTAGAAGAAGAAGTTCTTTTCTTTTTTTATCTACAGCTCCTGGAGTACTTTATTCCAATAATTTAAATTGAAATAGATTTTTTAATTTACCCGCTGACTGTTACGGACACTGAGTGCAGGGCCAAATAGACCTACGTTGCCAGAATATTTGTCTTGATAGCGTGCTACATGTACATTTGCACATGCCTCATAAATAGTAATATATTTCAACAATCAGGCAGGACAACAAATGTAGCCGTTGTGCGATCATAACATTAGGTATTTATCTCTCATTGTATGTGGTGTTTTTGTGGAAAATGTTATTCTCATTTTCCTGTAACAGGTCCATGCTAATTAGCCAAAGGAACAATTTTATACATTTTTGAAAACGAACATAAGCAAAAATTTACTATCCCATTAAGAAGTTCAGAGACATAGTCTAAGCAATTTGTCAACTATATCAGACAGACTGCTTGTAGATTTAGTGTGTATGGGGTCCTCTGCACTCAAATCCAACACTCAGGCCAAACTTTACTATTACACTGCATTTCCCACATGCTCTCAGATCAGGAGGAAACAGTAGTCTGTCCCAGGCAGGGAGCTAGAGCCCCACATGTTTAAGTTTGACAAACTATGCCTATGAACTCCACAACAACAGCAGCTCCAGCTGCGTTCTAATGAGCATTTATTGTGTCTCTAGTATGGCGAGCACTTTGCAGAGCCTGCTTCAAAGCCAACCAGATTCTACTCGAGCTGTTTTACAGATGCGTCTAGAAATCCGAGGCCGTTCTTCTGTGGACGAATGGTTCTGTCTTTTGCTCCTGACAGCTGCGCAGGCTTGTTGTTCGCTCTCTCCTGAGTTGTTTTAATAAAGTTGTGCTGCAGGAGTAGTGAGAGAAGATTAATGGACGCACAGGAAGTGTGGCAGTTGTGAGAGGATGCAGGACAGAGCGGGCCAGCAGCCATCTGTTCTCTCTCCTTTACAGCTCTCTTAATGGAGAAGCAAACCAAACAACATGGATCTGAGCCCTGCAGACAGACACACACACGCACGCACACACACACGCACGCACGCACGCACGCACACCTCAGTTGCACACAGCTAAACACAAAGCATTACTTTATGTGACAGAGATGAGAGCTAGGCTTTTGTCATTGTATTCCCCCTTGATGGACGTGTGTGTGTGTATGTGTGTGCGCTTTTTTCCCCTACCTTTCAGCGAAATAAAGTTGGGTGTGAGCCACGGCTGTGAGATTTAGATGAAAGACACAGTCTGGATGGAACGTGATTAAGAGATATGTTCTTGAGGCAAAACAGGACTTGGCATTTGCTGAGACAAAACCTAATCAAATTAAAGCAAAACATGGCCATTGTTGTGGAGTGTGTTCCCTGCTTGTGTCACGTTTGAAATGGAACAGTGTAAAATAGATATGGGCTTGTGTCTGCGCAGCATCACCGCCACAGTGGTTTTATTCACATTTACACACAGGCACTGACTAATGACGGTTGTGCCAAATGATGCCTAAAGCACTTTATAGAGCTGTCTAGGTTATAAAAAATGTTTACTATGATGGAGCTGAATGGCTCACTGAAAGAGTATTATTGTTTACAAGTTATTGTTTTAGATTAATTCACTCAGCAGAATTGTTAAATTCTCTATCCAACAGGCATGGCCACCTCCAGTTCATTCTTCCGTCAGTAAGTATTTACCGGTCCTCCTCCCTTGAGTTGCCACTCTTTACTGGTGCACCATATTTATTATTAGCCTGTAATGAAATCTATAGTCCAACTGTTTCTCATTTTGTTTGTTTTGAATGAACGCAGACCATGTCACGTTAAATGACAACATGCATCGTCTCCCTCTTTCTCCCAGTGAAGACATGTGTACGACATGATGAAGTTTCCTCTCTGAGTATCAATCTTGTAATTGAGCTCAGGGAGAGGAGACGTGATGTGCACACAGAGGAAGTGAAAGGCCTCTCTCGCTCTCCCCTCCATCCCTCCATCCTTCACTCTTTCCCTACCCTCCTTCTCTCTCTGTTTCTCTTACACACACAACGACACACGCTGTGTCCTCCTTTTTTTCCCAGGCACACACACACACGCACACACACACACACACACACACACACGCACACACACAGAACTCTTCCCCTCTACCTGCTTTTACATTAAATGTGTCAGCTCTCTTTAATGCACACCAGCTGAAATGAGTGCATTAGCATTAGCTGCCATAATATCACTCACTGTTCAGGGCACACTGCACAATGGCCCAGGCCCCGGCGCAGAGGGGAGACACAAGTGGAATCTCCTAATAGTGTCTTCACAAGGTTTTCACAGCACTACACCCTGAGTGACACGACGTCCTGGAGCTACAATGTCTTTACTCGTGTCTCTTTATCCGCCTTGTAATGTTGCTTTCTCATTGTGCTCTTACGATACCGTGGATCATGAGGAAACTGAAGTGAGACCGGATTAAATATTAACACAACCTGACACAGTCCCAGAGCTCCTATTCCACTTCACATGATACAATTAAAAACATTCCCACCTGCATTGAGCGGAACACTTGTCAAGAACATGCTGCTTTACAGACTTAAAATAAATCTTATACTAATCTATGGAGAACCTAACAAGGAGGAGGCCAAGGTTTTCATGCAGGCACTTAGCGGAGTAGGGACCTGGAAAAAAATCAGAGAGATGAGGGCCTTGCATTATTTATACGTGCTAATGGTGGCTCCCTGTGTGTGTGAATCAGCAACAGAACAATCTGCAAAAATAGATACACAGCTGTAATCAAGGCCATACATTTCCTCTCCTTCTCCAGTTCTCTGCTAACTGCAGGGTCAATTGGAGTCAGTTTAGTAGCATTTGAAACTCTTGCAGTAGATTATCTCTGTTTAATGGAGACAAAAGACAATGCAGGAGTAGATCGCAAAGATTACCTCTGCCAAGCTATCCTGGCTAAATATGTGTACAAATTCCTCACCCAGTTTCTATTGTACACAAGATATCACTGTACATCTACCACGACAAGAACAATAGCTGGTGTGCTTAATGTAGTTTTGTCAGCAAAAGGAATCCATTAGTCTTATTGTGCAGCCCTTAAGCTCAGCATCACAGGGGGTAACCCACTGTTGCGCCACTACATCCATGCACATGTGCCTCTCATTTCCTATGGCAGTCCAGAAGTATCCTTCAACATCCTATTGTAAAGTTTACCAGGGGAGAGGTTCACTGTATTAAAGTGCCCTGAGAGAAACGCTAAATGATGTAAATGCAGGCAGCTGCTTGTTGCTAATGCCGTACAGTAGACAAGGAGGCCCAGGCGAGGCTGGATGTGTACAGTATCTATATAACATTATAGGCTCTCTTTCATGTCCTCTTGCTCTCTAATAGGAACAATATGAAGACTAATGGTATAGCAAAAGTGTAGGGAACAGGGATTTACACCAAACTGCAACATATCCTGTTTCTGCTGTTTCAAACACAACAACATGTTTAGGTGGCAAAAAACTGCTTATTTGTTGTGCATTTTTTGAGGTTATATTACAAATGCATGGGCCACAATAGGTCAGATACCATTTATGATGTAGCTAACTATTTCAACCATTTAGCCACTACTTTTAAGCTTTTCACCATTTATCCAACATTTCTATCTATTTTAACTGTTTATCCATTACTTTCAGCTATCAATTTTAGCCATTTACTCATGACTTTTACATCTATTTTAACTATGTATCCATTAAGGAGAACCTGGACATAATAATTCTTTTCAGATAAATATCATTTTAAATGATAAAGTTACAGACGGAAACTAGTTTGCTTGTGATCAACAACTCATGAGTTTAATACCAGGTGTTAATTTGTACAAAAGTGGAATGACTTCGGTGTAATTTGACTTTGAACTGACTGGAAGTTGCACACGGATGGGTCAAAGTAACACAATATAAACTTGAAGGGTTTAAATTATTCTAAATTTTAATTAGAAATTAGAAAACGTCTTTGTTAATATAGGCCTATACTTGCAAACATGATATGTCTTTTGTCTTATAAATTAATCTATTAAAAAAGTATTACGTTAATATTCAACCAGGGTCAACCTCACCCTGGCCCTTGGCATATTCTGTTATGTGCGATATGACATAGGCTCAATGTTTTAATAAATGTTGTAAAACATCGCCTCACCGCAACTTACTGTAACTTAGTAAGTTAGATGAAAGACTATCATTCCGACAATGACTCCTGACAGTTATATCTGACTTCTCAGGATGTGTTAAAGTATTAAATAGTCTGTCAAGTGATCATGACTATGACAGATGATACAATAAACAAAACTTGTCAAAATTACCGCTTAAGAAAATTGACTTACCGTGATCCAAAACAGCTTGGGTAAAACTCTGCAAAAGTTGACATATTCATGTGATTTTTCGCAGTTCTGGTAAGTGTTGCGTGCTGTACGTGCTGTACGTGCTGTACGTGCTGATGCATTTTAGCATCAGACATGAATGAGCTGGAAGAAACTGGCTGTGTTACTTTTGTCCTGTCTTATTTTTTTACAGGTTCTCCTTTGAGATTACAATATGAAATGTTTATTCAATACCTTTGCCCATCTATTTCAACTGTTTATCCATAAACTTTAGCTAACAATTTAGGTTCTGCTGGTTTGCCAGTTTTTGTGCTCTGTCAATTAGCACAAAAGATTGTTGTAGTGCTACAGCTGACTCAATATGTGGATATATAGGCCATATTATAATGAGAATTTTTTTTAAGATAGTTGAGCTACTCCACAATCTTACTATATACCTCTGCAGAACCCTGGCTGGGAATAACTGCTGTAGGCCTACCATTTCTTTTTTCATAGTCAGAGGGCGCATTTGTCCCAAACCTGTTTAAATATTCAAAATAGCATGGGACACAAATGAATATCTAAGACACAAGACTCAAGAAACACTTTTAATCATGATAAAGTTAAATAGTCCAACAAAGCACTATTTAGAAAAACAAATACAGCAACACTGTCTCTGATCATCATTTGATAGTGTGCTGACACGCAAACTCTATTAAGCTGTCTTCAAATATGCAAAAATGATATGATTTTACAATGATTACATATTCACTTCCCCAGCTGGCTGGCTCCAAGCGTCTCCATTTGTCATCGACTATTGTGTCCAATTATATGATTAGCTTTGAACACTCCAGCACTTCGAGAGCTCTCGTGTGTTCTGCCGCGCAGAGTGATTCACAAACAAAGTCATTACAACATGTATTCACACATATCAAATAACAAAACAGATGGCCACTGCGCTCGCCGCCTGATTTGTTTTCCACACGAGTGGTATAAAAAAAAAAGTATTTTGTGTGCACTGTGTTTAATGCTGACTGTTTTTATTCCCAAAGAAGAGCAGCTGGCTGTCGCGCTGTTAGATCAGCTCCTATGAAAGACAATCTTGTTTTCATTAATTTCTCTACAACAAAGGCACTTGTTGGGAAGATTTAGAATTACAGCGGGTAAAGCTTCCGGATAATTCATCACAGGGACTTGACAGGAAACTTAATTGTTTTAAATGCCAGTTGCTGTGAGCAGCGTGGCTGGTTTATCTTTGATGTCTAACAGGTGGGACAGATAGACGATCCTCTGATGTTTCATTTGACCTTTGACCTCTTGGTTATAAATCCATTTGTAGTCCACCGGCCAATAAACCTATCATCGTGTGATGAACTGCAGTTCCCAGAATTCCTTGTGAGATGGAAATCTTGTAGTCTGCCTCCTCTTATTAAACACTGTGTAAATCTAGCCCGTCTATGTCCTACAGTCTGGCCACTACTTGACCTATGAACACTGCACAAACCAACCGAGAACCATATGGACTCCAAGTGCAGTTTATCCTTTTACCATTGTATTACCCTAACTTATCTTAGTGAGAAGAATTGAATGGGCTCACATGCCAAAAGTGAGAAAACAATAGAACCAGCATTTCTTTAAGGAACTGCTCAGTATAACATAGTTTATTTAGTTGTGTTTGCAATTGAGAAGCCATACGATAACCATTCAGAGAGAGCTATATTACATGCGGTTACACCACAGGGTGCGTTGACTGTCTAATTGCATGAGACACTACATAGTTACTCAGCGACACTGGCTCACTGTCTAATCTAGTCAAGACTGCGCAAGTGTGACAGACACACTAACTCGATTATTTTGGCAATTGGCAACACCAAATCAATTCTTAGCTCGAGTGATGTTTGTGCAAGAAACCTATCAAAACCGTCCCATTCAAACCTGAGTTCTTTCCTTAATTTAAATTAAAGTACACAGGGATCGAACTGTCACATATTCAGTGCCTTCTACCTCATCACTTGTCTGTCGTTTGAGGAATAAATTGAGGAAAAATTGCAGGATGCGGTGCTTATACTCGCAGCAGAGACCTGACATAAGTATCCCTGTGCAGAAAAGGTTTTCTCTTTTAAGGTTAAGGTTGCTTTAAATCTAGTAAATCGCCTCGCTGACATCTCTTGAGGATGTTACTGTAAATGCACTTCAAGTGGCTGAATCATTTAACATCTAATCAATATGATTCGTGTCGCACCATAAACACACTTTAGGCTGATTTGAGGTTGGAGCTGTTACCACTGTAGTTAACAGCTTCTCTGTGATGAGGTAGAATGGTTATTTCACAAACTGATATATTTGCTTTTATGAAGCCACTTCAATTCATGCAATAAAATGCAGAAACAAAAAAAGCATAAACATCTCTGAAGCAGAGATTCACAAATGTTGCACGATCCACTTTAAAAGTAAAGAAAACACTGTTTTGTGTCTGCTCTGAAAGGTAGAAGGGATCTAGCTGTGCCATGCTGCCATCACCTGGGCAATATATTTACAGCAACTTTTGGGACACTTGTGTTTTAATAATATCCTGTTTCAAGTGGTTGGGCTTAAACTCATACTCCACAAATGTGACAGGGTGAAGTGACACCAGTCAAACATCATTTGCACCTCATGTGCATGCGCTGATGGTCTATTTAAGTCACGGTGTGTCACTGAGTAGCTACAGAGGCGAAGTTACAAATATGATGCAGCGACCAAAGGAAAGCTGCAACCTTCACAAACCCACCATTGTTTCCTGTTGGTTTCCCCCCATGGAGACAGTCAGGTCTTTTATAGTTGTTGGTTGATGTAGCGAGAAGGCTGAGAAGAGTTTCAGTGTTTCATAATAAAGCAAACACTGAGATACTGTGGGCTATGTTTTTAATCATTATGAGCTTTATTTTCGCCTGCAAGTGTTACACCTGAGCTACAAACACTCGTGCTTTGTTTGCCGGAGCAAAGATGCACAAAAAAACATCTCAAGTCTCATGGGTGAGTCAATCAGCTCAGAACACAGATGTTTTTGCCACAACAGCAGCACTCCCATACTGTGAGTGTAAATTACACCTCGGAAATTAATTGCAAGTTTTGATCCTTTTGATAATGAACCATGTACACAGTGATGCATTCAGTGTTACATTGTGCCAAAGCGTGCCCAGTACATGTATGTGTGTGTGTGCTGGTTGACATGAAAGTTTGACGGTTGCTTCATATCATTGCGCTGGTCAGGTTGCTCATTGATCGGATGCTGCCTGTGTGTGTGTGCCTGCTCTTCCGTCTCACACTTCGCAGATAGTTCCTGTACAGAATCACGCTGATCACCCTGTCCTGGAACTGCTTGGAGACAATGTAGTATAGAATGATATCTAGCACTGTGCTCATGTTCATCAGGAATGTGGTGAAGACTGCCCAGGTACTAAACCCCCCATCTTTGCCTGTATCCAGCAAACGGAGCACTAAACACACATGGAAAGGCACAAAACACACCAACACTTGGATAATCAGTGTGATGATAATCCGGATGGACTTTTGCTTCACTTTAGGTTTGAGTTTAGAGGTGCGGCCATGGATCAGATTATCCACAATGACAATATAGCAGCCAATCATTATAAATATGGGAACCAGGAAGAAGAAGATGAGTCGCACAAAGTTGACTGGGTTGTCATGGCGCATGTAGATGATGTCTTGCATCTTGATGCAGGTGGTGAAGTTGGAAATTTGATCGGGGTCATGCTCAGAGAAGAGCAGGGGTACAGTGCAGCCCAGAGTCATTACCCACACCCCCAAACTCGCCACCACGGCCTTTGGGACATTCCTCAGCTCTTTACCGTGCTTTGGCTGGACGATGGCCATGTAGCGGTCAGCACTGATCAGAGCAAACAGCCACAGAGCGATGCAGGGGTAGAAGATGGTGAGAGCTGCACTGATTCTGCAGAAAATATCTCCGAAGGGCCAATAGTCCTGGTGGTGGTAAACCATTCTGAAAGGAAGCAGCAGGATGAAGGTGAGATCCACGATGGCCACATTTATCATGTAGACCGTGACAGAGTTCCTCTTCTTGGTGGTGAGGGCAAACACCCATATGGCAGTGAGATTGACTATGACTCCTATGATGAAGACGAAGCAGTAGAAGATCAGGCCTGCCATACGGTACTCCACCGGTCCCTGCTCCAGCTGTACAGCACCAGACTCCACAGACATGTTGGAGAAGTTTAGATCCAGTTTCATTCTGAAAATTACAGAATGCATCAAGATAAGGGTGTGTATTTCCACTGAACAATTCCTTTATCACATTTTTTTGCTCTTTATAGCCCATGTGTTTTCATGATTGAAACCAAAGTCCTCTTAATTCACTCATGTTGAAAGGTCATGTGCTTCTAGCAAGTTCTTAATGAAGAAAAAGGGATATTTTGGCCAATGTGGTGTCTCTCAAGTATGAAATTCATCAATTCCAAGATGACCTAAATTCTGTAATTCATCAGCTACAAAAATAGTATAGAAAAAGTAAAGACGTGTTTACTGATTGCAATTTTGAATAAAACAATCTGTTAGATTTCAAGTTTCAAATGATTTTAGGAGCAAGACCTGGTAATCCAACTTACTTTTGATCATGATGTAGAAGTAATCCTCACAGGTCCACAAGAGTTTGACATCTAATAAAAAACAAACACATTGTAAACACATTCTAAATGTGTTTAAGAGAAAAGAAGTGTATGAAAATTAGGTTTCCACTGGAAACACTGGGTTTAATTCTTAATATGTACATAACTGTACATATCAGTTTGCAGAACCAGCTGCTTGATCATTTAAATACTTATTTTTAAAAGCTGTGCAGCTGCACTGCGAAAAAGAAAGGAGGAAGACAAATACACCATGCCTGTCTAGATGTGTCATTCCACAACATAAAATTGCATAAACTAGCAAAAAACACCAACATTTAAATGTAGCCTATCTATATCTCTATTTATACACACACATATATATATATATATATATATATGTATACACACACATATACACAAACATACATATATACATACATACATACATACATATATAACAATGTAGAAACAGAGAATGTAGTCAGAGCAAACAATGTGGAAGTGAAATTTGTATCTCTGAGAAATTGATTCTGTGTCTTAATAGTAAATCATGTGACTTTCATGTTTCACATTTAAGTATTCCTTTTTCCACTCCACTGTACTGTACTGTACTGTACTGTCTTATGTAGACAGTGTGTTGTGAATTGTGTGTGAACATTTAAAAACAGAATACCAGTTAATGTAAAGCTGCAGAATGAAACAAGTAAGTTCAGTGATTTAGATCAGCCTGTCTCAAAACTCTTTGCTTCAAAACACACACACAGCAATAAAACATGTCTGCCAAAATTATTTTCCCCCCACCATCTTAAAGGTCCAACAGATCAGGTAGCGTTTCCTGACAATAAAAGACTGCACTTACCACATAAATGACACAAACATCTTGACAAGCTTGCGCCAACAGGTTTATGAAGTAGCACGGCGATTTATCTGAACACTCATTCAAAACAGGGAAGTGACTACTTTCTCAAAGGGTAATGTGGAGGAATGGTGGCGAGACTGAGCAAAGTGTAAAGCCCCCATCACTTCCTGTGTTGACTGTGAGCTATAGTTTCTGTACTTTAGATTCCTTTACAGTATCTGCGTGGTTGGAACACAAAGGGCTACAGCTTTCCACAGTCTGCAATTACACCCCCTTAAAGAAAATGATGTGCCATTAGAAGTGGGAGTGTGTTTGGCAGCCAGAGAGATGGCAGATTTAGGGCGAGTTATTGATTGGAAAAGTGGGGTCTGTCACAGCACATTAGTTCTCAGGGGAGTAATCCACAGCAGGTTGCTGTGAGAAGCATCTGCTGCTGGAGAGAAGTAATTAAAAACAGGATGTTGAGGCAGTTGCCATATAAACAGGAAATAAGAAGGTGGTAATAGACACTTCACGCTGATGCTGTGAGATGGTTTTACACCACGTCGACTTAATGGATGCAAAGCGCATACCTCAGGTGAAAAGCTCAAGGTCAGTCTGGACCCGGACTGAATACAGATTAATGTGTGTGATTAATGTGTGTGTGAGCTGATAACAACTATGAATTAGGACATTTGGCTCAAAGAACGTTGTGCAATCAAAACTTACCCTGATTTCCTAACTTGTACTTTCCATTCCCATTATATAGCTTAAAATAAAATACAGAGTAAAACACACTTTCCCACGACTTAACAGTGTTTTCTCCTTTGTGACCTTTGGACTGCTTGATGCTGAAATTCTTTTCACGCTCACTACGTTGTTTTTATCGCAGTGTTTATATGGAAGCCGCTCATTCAGTTTAATTCTTATTCTTGGGAAATAATTATCTATCAGCTTGTCCTCTCGATGTGTCTTAAAAATCTCATGCCAGATGGTACTCTGTGTTCATTGCAATATGTTGTTATGACAACAGTCTGTGTGATGTTTTCCTCTCTTTGATACTTGTCATGTGGTTGCCTCAGCAAGTCTTCCACTCCATGATACATCCTTGGTCTTTATTATCCACCTGTACAATTAACTATACAAATACGTTTATGCTCTCTTGACAACATTAGGTTCTCTGCCATTATTGTTGAAAATGAAACAGAAAAGGCTCATATAATAAAAGATAAAATCATACTCTTGCTACATTGGTCAATATTTAGATTCTACATATGGCGCCTGTGAAAAGCCCATTTACTTTGCTTTGCCATCACCTCTTTAACCTGTTTCACACCGCCCTCTAGAGGCCAAAAAGAAACACTACAAAATTGTCAGTCTGTGCCTAATAATTTGTCTTGCAATAATACATTTCTTATTTGTGCAGTAAGTAAGACTAGGCTGTCATGGTATAATGTATTAGATGATATTTTATCTGTGGCAATGAATGCAGAAAATCACTTCAATAAAATGTCTTGTGACATCACAACTACATCTACACACAATTAACTCCAAATTCAGTTAACGCTTTTATAGTACAAAATAACATATAATAAGACATCAGTTTGTTCCACCTGTTTTGTTGCTTTAATTCGAACATTGTTTTTTTTTTTTTGAAGAGATAATAAAATACTGTTCTTTGAATAATAATCTGTGTGTGACATGGCTTTCCCCCCCAAAAAGTTCCTGCTGAACATTCTTAAAAAGTTCTAGTCCTTCTCCCTCATTGAAAAATCCAGAATCTATGAATTGTTCATTTCAAATGTTGTACAGTTCAAAATCAGACACAAATCTCTCCTACTTCACTGAAAAGTATATTCTCAGTGTATGTGCGCTGGAAGCTTCTAGTTTTCACACCACATTTGTACAAGTTGCCTGTTTAACCATGATTGACCTTCAAACTAGTTGTGGCATCACAAAATCATGCTCGTACATACATGTCTTAAACTTTGAGTGGACAGGAACTTTAAGTCAAAAGAAATGAAGATAAAATAATTCAAATCAAAACTGCAGAAGTGCTGAACTTGTTCTGTGGACAATACATTCATGCTATTGACATAATGAGATTATTAAAATAATTTAAATGTATCTACTCCTCTGAAATTGCCATGTTTCAGATGGATAAACTGTGATAAGTTACCAGATGTGTTAAGCCCACCCCATTACTGTAATCCCCAAAGAAATCTAGTGATTCAAAAAAGGCAGGAATAAAACAGAATGCAATTACATGTGTGAAATACAGCAATGCACATGTTTCATTTGTAAGATTTGTAAGAAGTGTAAAATTAAGTATATGAAGAGGTCAAAATGCAAATAAACATCCAATTATACCCTGTAGTGTTTTATGATTGTCATGACTTGTATATCTTTCACTTTTTTAATTTGCCCAGAACAAACAGAAAGGGATCAAAGGTTTAAAATTGTGTGTGTGTATATATGTGTGTGTGTGTGTCATGGACCAGACCTATAGAAAATTTGTACTTTAGTATCGATACGCTGCTGTTATAGATCTTGTGGTGTACCAGCTCTAGTCACTCTATTGCTGCAACTTTCATGATTACTTTCAGTATCGATAAATCTACTGACTATCTTTACAATTATTCATTCATTAATTGATTAAATTAATAATTTCAGCTTCAGTTCCCATATTTGTACTGTGGTTTTACAGAAACATTGTGCATATGTTTCAACAAGTGCCACATCAACAGTTCCTGGAACTGAGTGCTTCTGTTGTTAAGTTCAAACATTTACAAGCAGGAAGTGCTAAACTGTATTTTGTTCACTGAAAGAACATGTTTTGCTCTGTGGTTTCGTTTGAGTCTTGGAAGTGGCTATGCTAGTTGATGAGCTTTGCCATTAACATGGTGAAATAACCCCAGCTGAACTTTCCTCTAGTGCGTTGTCTTGCTTAGCTCTATCTTCATCTTTGTCTTGTTTCTTTGCCACCTGTTGTTGATGCCTTCCGGATGTATGAGTGTGATGATTCATCAAGGAAGGTTGAGATGAATATTGTTTCAAACTGAGTATAAAACTGTTCCAATGATCTCTGTACTACAATTATCAAAAGCAAGCATTTGTCACAGTTTGCTAACATGGTGTTCTGTTTTATGTAAATGTAAATTCCCCCTCAAGCCAAATATAATCTTGCACCTTTCAATAAAAACCAGTCAATATGTAACATTTGTGTGACTTGAACAACCTGAATTTTGTTTTATTCATGTTAAGTACTAATTTAACATCAATAAGAGCATAAATAAAATAAAGCTATCTGTTAGATGATTCTGCAGTGCATGATTTACACCTGTTGCCAAAGTTCACAGACAGTGCAAGAAGCAGTGTGGCCCTTTGTGCTAAAGTAATGGTGTGTCGGTGAGAGAATTGTCTTGTAGTTCATCAGACTGTCACGCTAGAGACCAGTTTGCATTCTGACTGATCAGAATGCAAACTGTCGCTTTGCCACTTTAAAGCTGTAACCACATTCTCCACTTTCACTAACCCCCAAACAACATCATACTCAACCATACTTTATTTATAGAAAGCTTTGTAGAAAGAAATTAACAATTGATTTTAGAACAAAGATAATAGTTTTGACTGTAGTGAACTTTAAATATTACATATTTAATTTGGAGGTAAACATATGTGTTATGTTGTAGTGCATTTTCTAACCATGTGTTTTAAGGTTAAGTTAAAGTATTGTTAAATCTGATGATAAAAATAGAAAATGTGACTCATCTCCCAACTCTGAACAATTTTAAAACCAAATGCGTATTTGTTTTATGATCTGAGAAGGATGGAGGACTGAAGAGCAGACTATGATTTGAAGGTATCTGTTAATCACACCAGCAACACTGGTGCATGTTAAAATATATGTTTTCTGATGCATTACAGTCTATGACCCCCACCAGTCAGCCCCCACATCCCTTTACTGTCTAAACGTCTTCTTTAAAGGGCATAAAACTAATCATACAAAACACTAACTAACTATCAATACATTTTCTGCAGTTTTGCATTTAACAATGCAGACTTAAGGACTTTTTTGGTATGTCTTGTTCCAGTAAAAATAGATGTAAACAATGCTGGATTTAAAAGACTTAAAATTTACCTTGCAAATGTTTTATGAGGAGTGAAGTAAACGTGACATGTTTGTTAGATCTCAAGCATACACACAGTGCATTTTTGTGAATAACACTGAATGCAAATGTTACTTTTATTTGTTTACAAGAAAATTCAACAGGGCTCCTTTAAATTAAATGACATCACTGACCACACCCATTTTACCAGGAGAAAACAAATGTGTGGTGCTTTTACAAACAATTAAGGTTAATTCATTCAGCAAGCAGTTGAAATCATGAGTTTACAGTTTGTCAGCTCCTGAAATAGTATAACTATATGCTGAACTGAAACTGAAAAAACAAACAAACCTGAGATTGTGAGCCTGACTTCATTTTGGAATTCTCCCTTAACATTGCAGTTCATAAAAGTAACGATGGGATCAGATGTGAGGTCATTGTTCGGTTGCAAATGCTAAGTCTCAAAAATGTTTTTTCGCATGAGTATGCTGCTTTTAGGAATATAACGCTTCACATGCTATAGGTTACATGAACACACATAATGTCAACTTGTAGATGTTCAATAATTTTCAGCACATAAGTTGACTTACAACATGCTCTACTGCATCAGGGCTCAGTCTACGGGCAGAAGACAAGCATGCTTTATGAAAAAGTATCCTCTGTTTCCTCGTGACGCTGAAATCTTCTCTCTGTGAGTCTCTCACTGGCTGTACCTACAGTGGAACTGTTGAGTTGAATCTTGTTGCCATCAATAAAATCCTTGGAGGAGCCTTCAGGTGACGTCCTCACAGCACTGGAGAAGGACATGCTGATCTGTAGCTTTAGCAGCTTCAGAAGTTTCCTCTTGTAGCCTTTACAGGCAAAGAAGTAGATAAAAGGATCCAAACAGGAGTTGAGGTTCATCAGACACACAGTGATATGCAGCGACACCTGAAAGGCTGTGAGATCAGCGCAGTCAGGGTTTGACACCAGCTTGCGGATCATATACTGCAGGATGTCAATGTGATACGGGCTATAGCAGACAACAAACACAAAGGATACGCAGCAGATCACTCCGATGGCCTTGCGGCTCC